CTAATTTTCCACTTTCACAGTTATATGAAATATTTTTTTCTACGTACAAAACATGCAAAATCGGCTACGGGACACTAAAAAGTGACCTTCCTTTGCTGCTAGACATCCAAAATAAAACAGTTTGCTGTAAGACACTCTGCTTCTTGTCAAATATGCTGATGAACATCGTACCCAATAAAATATCCATTTATGGCATTCGAGGGGAGAGAAGACCGCTAAAATGTCCACTATGCCCATACCTTTTTCTTCCTCCCCTCTCTCTATCCGAGTTAGCAGCAAGGAACCCATGGCCCCCGCCCAGGCCGCGAGCCCGGCCACGAAGACGGACGCATCCACTATGGCCACCCGCGCTTGCCCAAGCCGCGACGTTGGCTGCGACCTCCGTCCGCCCGCACCTGCCCATGCCACGATGCCGGTCGTGACCTCCATCCGCCCAGTCCTTTTGCTTCGCGGCTCGTGCTCCCATGGCCGGCGAGCTCCTGCAACCACGCCTCCCACACCCACACCCGCGAGCCACAGCGGAGACCGTGCGTGACCGCGAGGTCGTGGCGGAGCCTGCGGGCGCGCCTGCATATCCACGGCGTAGCCCACGCGTGCCCGCGAGGCCGCAGCAGAGCCTACGCACGCGCATGCGTGGTCGCGGCGGAGACCACGTGTGCCCGCAAGGTAGCGGCAGAACCCGCGCACGCCCACGAGGCTGCGACGTAGCCTGCGTCGACGGAGCGAAGCTTGCGCTCTCCCCCAGCTCGCCGTGTCCGCTTGTCACAGCCCCATCATGTGTCCTGCTCGATGCGCCGCCATCGTTTTGTGAATCCCACCGGGTGCCGCGCCGACCCGCGCCACTCGCTCAACCTCGCTAACGACGATCGCGCCCGGTCCCTTCATTGCTGCATCGCGCGCGCCGCCGTCGTCATACTCTCGCTGCTGGTGCAATTGCCCTACTTTCGCGCGCGCGCTAATGATGTTCGTGACCCCGGTCCTTCGGCGTCTGGTGTGCGCGGCCAAGATCCTGTTTCATGACCCGGCCTACTCACTACTCGTTGCTCCTCTCCCGGCGCGAGCATGTCTCGCTGCTCGCCGCGGGCGCCGACCGAGGCCGCAGCCACCTTTGCCCAATTCGCCACCCACCCGTGCCCGAAAAAAAGAAAGCAAGGAAGGAAGAAGAAAGAGGCAGGGGCATAACGGTCATTTTACCGCTCATATCTCCTCAAATGCCAGAAATAAATATTTTATTAGGTCCAGTGTCCACCAGCAAATTTAACAAGCGGCAAAATATCTTTCAGCAAAATATCTTTCAGCAATCTGCTCTATTTTGGATGTCCTGCAACAAGGAAAGGTCACTTTAAGTGTCATAGTCAATTTTACCTTTTCACAAATGTCCACGTCGTTTCACCTCAGGATGTTTCTTTTTTTTAAGGAACTTTTAGCCACTATTAGCGAGCTTTGTATGAGAAATCCATGCAATTTTTTTGACACAGTTTTTTTCTCTCAAGCCAGTAGGAATTAGGCATAGCGCTTATCGACCATAATACGGTGTTTTTCTCTCATAACAAAACAGCACCGAAACATGTCAATTTTGCACTTTCCGGATACTGGAGATATTATATCCGTGTTCTAAATACCATGAGCTAGCAAGCAGGATCATAGATTGGCTGAAGTTTAACGTGCCTATATTTGGTTCTTATACACTTCCAGCTTGTGGGGAAAAAAAAAGCAAGGCTTCAACTTCCATAAACAAAATACAGAATATAATGGACTTAAACTTCTAGCATTTTGATGTTCTCATACAGTACGGTCCATAACAAGAAAACACTAGCAGGAACCCCGGGCGTTGCCGCAGGGGCAACACATAAGTTGAAAAGAAAAGGTCGTATTGCAGAATTGACAATATGCAGAACATTTCAGTAATAGCATGTTGATGTCTAAAGGATAAATATCTAAAGAGCAAGAGTGGGGATTAGACATAGTGAAATGGTGCATGATAAGAGAAATTGATAAGCTAACATGCTTACTGGGAAAAGTAGTGCATGATTAGTTTCATGACATCCGTATAAATTATATGATGAATCAAATGTTATTACACCAAAACATCCATGTGGCTCCAGTTTTTGTCTGTCATTTTGCACACGTGTGGCTCCAGTTTTTGTCTGTCATTTTGCGCACAAAAGAAGAGGAACAAAATACTGTAAGACCAAACGACACTGCAGATGGACCTTTGGATATCTTTACTGGCATTTGATCAAACGACAGGACAACTAATCCTTTGTTGGTGTTTTCCATGAGGCCGTCAAAATCAGTTTGAGCCTGCACACATTTGGAAACTGGAAACAGAGAAATTAACCTTAGAACTGTAGAGGTTTGATTTGTTTGCACACTAAAATAGCAAGGGATATTTCTTTGCACAAAGAAAGAGGTAGCTGTGAAAATTGAAATAAAGGTATTAGTTAGTATCAACATAGCCAGAGCAGAAGGAAAGTAGTTCTTACCAAAGCCAAAGCAAAAGCCTGCTCTGGTTAATCAAAATCACCTATGAGGTCATAAGACAACATCACTGAACCTAATCTGAAAGTGCGTACATGTTGACGCGCATCTGCGCTAAGTACTTAGGTTTTCCAGCGTCATCGCCCTAATTTCAGGAATGTGAGCTTTTGGAGAATGAACTACTTTGATTTGTTTAGTAAACCTGAAATCTGTGACTGCTGGACAGGTTTCCGGTTGACAATAACTGATGTACCTGTTTATTAGTATAAGCAAAGTAATGGGTTGGGTCCTAAAAGTGCGTTTGAATGCAAAGGCGAGTTGCTTACGTTTTAAAAAGGCGTATATGATGGTTTCGATATGCATATGTAAAATAACTCATGGAAAAAGTATAACATTCAATTTTTTTGCACACCATGTATAGACAGTATATGTTGAGGTCGAAATTCCGGATTCATGCGAAATGAGACTAAACATCATATATAAATTTAGGGAGGACGGCGGTCAGGCAAATACAACGAATTGGAAAGAAATTAGGAAGGAGTGTCAAACATAATTTGGGGAGCAACATCTAGAGAATCCCAATATGTGAGCTTGCAAAGAATAACAACACTGGGTAATAAAAATGGCAAACTTTGTATCAGACAGGAAAACATTGGTGCTTAAATCCGACCATACACACAAAATCAATCTGAAATGATGTACCTTGTTGGCATCAAGAGGAAGCTAAGACTATAACAACATCATTAAAGAAGCCGTTCATTTTGCTATCATCCTGAGGCCAAGATTATGTAAGCAGATGAATAGACCTGTTGATAAGGTGAAGCATCAGTCGGCAAGCACAGCGGAAAAAATCCAATTAAACAACCATATTTACATATCAGTACATAGGAAGGAAATGAGTCTACAAAAATATAAATAAGATGAATCGGTACAAAAATAAACCTTTGCCGTGGAGAGTATGATTCATGGTTAGATAAGATAAACCTTGTAGAAGGAAAAATATGCATCTAGACTCTTATGAGTGTGTTCTATGCAACAGCTTGACAGAAGAAACAGCAGACCATCTTTTTGTGGAGTGCCCCTTTGCTGCAATGTGTTGGGATCTAATGGGTGTTGAGATGCCCTTACATGGTGCCTTCCCAGAGCTGACCACACAGATCAAGGATCAGCTGAATTCCCCTTTTTTCATGGATGCCATCATTTTGATGTGCTGGACAGTTTGGACTGCAAGGAATGATCTCATTTTCAAAGGAATTCAGCTGAACTTGACTGATTGCTGAAGAGTCTTCCTGAAAGAACTGTTACTGTTGCAGTACAGAGTAAAGCCAAGTCAAGAAAATCAGTTTAACTCATGGATACAAAATCTGGTCTAAGTAGCTGGCTTGAGCTTATCTTTTTTGTCTCCTTCTTTGTTTCTTAAGTCTGTCTTTCAGTTAGCCAGTTAACCGTTTAGTCCTTTTCTCTCTCCTTGTGTACCCCTGTAACTTTCTGGATTTGTGTTCTTCAATAAACTGTAGGGACTTCGGTCCCTCCAGATTCCTCAAAAAAAAAACATGGAGAAGGAAGGTAGGAGGTGATGGAGAACATGTGTCTCGGTAGTATCGGCGTGACGACACTGGAGGGGGGAGGGAGGCGGCGAAGGCCAGGCTAGCGTGCAGCGGGGAAGAACAGGATAGTAGCGCGAACGCGTACCGGTGGCACTAACGTCACGGTGTCGGGAATCCGGAAAGCAGAGCGACGGAGGCTCGGGTGGCGGCAAAGGTCTACTTCATGATCTCTTTCTTGCTCCATATATCGGAGGACTGCATAATTATAAGGTTAAAACTGTTTCAAACAACTACAGGATTAGAAAAAAGTCAAAATAAGCGAAGAGTATGGCTGATGAAGTAAGTGCCAAAACAGGTAAACATTTGTGAACCATTGAATTAAGTACTCAAAACTGTGAAGCCTAAAAAGGATACTGATGTATAGTTTCATGAGACCTAACCTTGAGGTCCTTAGTGACAGTAGCAGACGTAGTGGCCCGAATTGTCACCAAGAAATTGCAGTGTTGTTAACATCAATTGGTACGACTCGAAATTCCCCAAAATTTGAATAGATTCACAGTTTAGTAATCCACAGGTTGGCGCACTGAGCGCATAAATCAACTGAACTACAGTTTTCGTAAACCCATGAGGCAAACAAATTCATCATATTCATGGATTCATCAACCTCTCTCTGCATACAGAACTCAAAATAAAAATCAAGCGCGACTCCAAATTTTAGTAGGATTCCAAGAACTACACATGGACTGTATACCTCCCAAAAAAAACACTACATCCTGCACGAATCCGAAAACCTAAACCCTAGCCCGTAGGTCAAACAGTGAACAACAAAGCAGCCGAGACGAATCGTAATCGCAGGGAGGAGGGAGACGGGCAGGCTTACGGAGTGGCATCCGCCGTGGCGGGAGTGCGCGTGGCTGCGGGCGCCGTCCTCCTCATCGTCATAGGCATCGTCGTCCATCTCTTGGTGGCGCTATGGGGGCGACTGCGGCTGGTGGCCGTCGTCGTCATAGACGACGTCGCCGGCATCGTTCGCATCGTCCTCATCTACCGACTGATTCCCGAAGAGGTTCTGCATCATCTGGTTCCGCGTCTCCTCCACCGTGTCGCGCACCCGATGGCAGCTTGCCATGGCCGCCGCCGAGGGAGATGGCCGCCGTCGTTGGAGCTGCTGAGCAGGCATGCGAGGAGGAGAGAGCGAGGCGACGCGGCTGTAGCCCAGGCGCGCGCAGTGAGGAGCCTTGCGCTAGGGAGATGGCCGCCGTCGCTCGAACTGCTGCGCAGGCAAGCGAGGAGGAGGGCACAGGGCGACGCGGCTATGGGCCAGGCGCGCGCAATGAGGAGGTGTCCGCAGCGGCGTACGGGGAAGAGAGGAGAACCGCGCCAGTGGGCATTGGGAGCGGCGGTGTGGATGTTTCTGGAGAGAGGGAGAGAGAGAGAGGAAGGCTGAAGGGATAAGCAGTCCGTTCGATTGACTGGTTCAAGGGATAAGCGGTCCGTTCAATTGACTGGTTCGTATCGTGGCTCGTTCGTTTATATAAGAGAAAAGTATTATTAGTTAGTTCATATAAATAATATAGGGCTGGCCAGCCAGTCTTAGCCGATTTGGCTGAAGGTTCGTGGGACTACGGGAACCTCGGTAGTTCGAGAAGGCGCACAAACCGAGAAAGGAGCGATGGGATCTAACGGTTGGGCAGATGACGTACACGTGATCTGACGGGCGTAGAAAAGGGGCAACGTGGCTTCGCAATGGTGCAGTTTTGGTATACAGGAATAAAGGAAAAATGGTAGATAAACCATAAAGAAGCAGAAATACTATATAACACACATGTGTTTTAGCACTAAAAACACATGGATTTTAGTCCACCGGATCATTGCCTCGATTTATTGCGTCCGTCAGATCTCAGGTCCGTCAAAGCAAGCCAATTGAGCAGCAAAAGACTGCCATGACGCTGACGCGACATCCACCGGATCGAGGCATGCCTCCGTCAAAGCAAAGAAGCAGCAACAGAAGCACCGCCATGACGCGACGCGACCCATGACGCTGACACAAAGAAGGCACCAAAGAAAGCAAAGACAACCACGACGTGCCCATGAAGAACGCGTCAGACAATAGAAGCAACCCTCTGTATTTTGTCCTTCCATAAAAAATTATTTTCTCTGATATGTGATTTGTGATATGTGGATATGTGATCTTGTAATTGTCTGGAGATAGAAGAAGGCTAGAGATAGAAGAAGGATGTAGGCTGTTGGATCTTAATCTTATGGTGCAAAAAAATTTATGTGTTAGAATTATATAAAACACATGGGTATGCAGTAGACAGACTAAATAAGTGCATGCAGTGACAACCTGGCGTGCTAGTACTTAGGTGCATATAACACCTTCCTATGCTTCTGATATAGGTAAAGACCCTGTTCAGCTGCTCGAATTTGTGGCTGAAATCGGCTGGAGCTGATTGGGCCTCCTGGCTCAAAGCGAACACTAGCCGTTCGGTTGCTTTAGAAGACACAGCTGCCGCCATCCTCACTCTCTCTCCCGTCTCGCATTCGCTCTCGCGCTTAGGGTTCCGCCGCTCCCAGTTGTTGATGCCGCTGCCGCCGAGGTGACTTCTTCGCCGCGCCCCAATCCTACATCGCCGTCAGCCGCCCTTCGTCCTAATCCCCTCCCATCCCTTGGGCCTAAGAAGGAAGGTGACATCCACACGGGGTGTCTCGCCAGATTTGGTTCGACGTCGCCTTCCCCGAGTCATCGCTTCGTCATCGCCGTCTTGCCAAGCAATCCAGACCCTTCGTCGCCTACGGCGGCAGATCCGCCCTTTCGGGTACGTAGTCCACTCCACGCCTTCCCCTTAATCGTTGGTAGGTGACCATCCCTACTTTTAGGATTTATAAATCCTCGCTTCCCTACTTCTATTTCAGCTGGCTCCGTCGCCTTCCCTCCTCGACGCCACCGTTGCTTCCACGTGCGACCGATTCTTCAGTGTCCTTTGCACGTTTTCCAGATCTGACCCGCAGACGGCGCCTTCAAAGGCATCGGATCCATCATCTTCTCCTACTTCCGCCCTCCCTACAGCGCCATTTTCGGTACGTTCCCATCTTTTTCATCCCATTTTTGCTACACACTTCTAGATCCGCTTCATTAGGGTTGAGGTTTTTGCTCCCTAATGTGGATGGTGTGGTAGAACCGTCCGAAATAGCGTACTTACGAAGGCGTCCGTCTTCCACTAGACACTAAGCACCCCGAAAGCAAGCTACCGCGAGCGGTGTCCGTCGGGCACACCCCGAGGGGAACCCGAAAGATCCACATTTTTCCCAAGGATCCAATAATGAGAACGAGTTACAATATAAATCCATTTCATACATATAAGTTTCTCAAAAAGTACATTATTACAATACCAAATACCAGAGTGCGGAATGATAAACAGTGGAATTTAAAAATAACATCTAGCAATAAGGGGGCGAGGAATCCGTCTGAGCCCACCAAAAGGATCCTCCACACAAGGTACTCTTCAAGCATCACCTATGAAAGCATCTAGGCCCCTAGTTGGATTTCGGTGATTGATGTCAATACAAGATTACTATGACTAACGTATGTTTTGCAGAGGCAATTAAGTTAGGTCATGGTAATGGAGATCGATTGGGCAATTGAGGTTGTCATGCCCCTACGATGGAAATCGTTTCGGTTTTCAAAGGATGGACGACAAGGTTAAGGATAACTAGTTCTAAGTGTCAATTGAAGTTGGAGAGACACTTAGAGTAGTTTAGGACTTTGTTTTTTCCTTTGGCCGTACTATGAAGGGGGGTATGAACGGGTAGCTTGACCTAGTTAAGTCTAGTGAGTTAGGTGTGGTGCACACTTGTTTAAACTAGCTCTAGGTAGCTCCTATGAATGCCTAAGATCTTTTGGAGCAAAATTCATTCACATATATTCGGAAGTTGGAAGTGAATGGAGGGTCAAAAACACCGACCGGACGGCTCAGCCGGCATGGGACCGGATGACGGGCCGCAGGTCCGGTCGATTCATTTGATTGAGGTGATCAAGTCTGATGTGACGGACGATTTGGAAGGTCATGTGGGACCGACGGCCGAGGACCAGCGTCCGGTCGACTCAATAAGGGTCCAGACTTGGGAAAAGAGGACGGACGCGTCCGGTCGAGGCCGACCGGACCACGAGGGTTCGGTCGTCGGTCGAGTCGATAAGGGTTTTATGCGACCGGACGCGTCCGGTCGAGTCTGCATCGGACCCCGCCGTCGTCCGATCGACTCTTTAATCTTGGTTCGCGGGTTGAACTGGACCGGGCGTCCGGTCATCACGATCGGAGCGTCCGGTCGTCCCGAAAGCTCATAACGGTTCATTTTTCAGGTGGCTTATAAATAGAAGGTCCACTCGTGAGTGGAGGATCTTTGCTCATTCCAACAATTTGAGAAACACGTTTGTGAGTGCCAAGAAGAGCAAGGTCCTAGTGAGGTGTTTGTGATTTGAGAATCCAAGAGAGTAGCCTCACTAGCAAATCAAAGTAGCAAAGTGTGCATCCATCTTCTCATTAGGCTTGGCGTGGTCAAGTGAGAGTTCGTGCTTGTTACTCTTGGTGATCGCCATCACCTAGAGACGGCTTGGTGGTGATTGGGAGTTTGGTGTTCACCCGACGGAGCTTGTGGGTGACCCAACTCAAGTTTGTGGCGGTTTTGGGTGATTCGGCCATGACGGAGTGTCGAAGAATCAACCCAGAGAGCACTTGATCCTTGCGCGGATCAAGGGGAGCTACACCCTGCGGGTGCTCCAACGAGGACTAGTGGGGAGTGGCGACTCTCGATACCTCGGCAAAACATCGCCGCGTTCCTTTCTCTCTCTATTTACGTTGAGCACTTACTTTGAGTATTTACTTTGAGCATTTCAATACTTGTCTTACATCCATAGAATTGCTTGCTAGAGTAAGTTTGGAAGCGTTGGTTTTGAGGTTGTTGTGCATTAGTTTAATATAAACACTTTTTAGGCACAAGGGGTTAATTGGGCTATCCGTAGGATTTGATTATTGCAAGAAAATTTAGAATTAGCCCAATTCACCCCCCTCTTGGGCATCTTGATCCTTTCAATTGGTATCGAGCCTCGTGCTCACGTTTTTAAGCTTAATCGCTTAGAGCAAGATGTCTCACGGGGATGGACCTCCTCCTATCTTTTTGGGAGATGATTTTCCATATTGGAAAATTCGCATGGAGGCTTACTTAGAAGCTCTAGATGTTGGAATTCTTAGAGCCGCCTCTCAAGGGTTCCCAGCACCTAGGAATGCCACACAACTTCAAGGCGATGAAGTGAATTATGAAAAATGGAATGCAAAGGCTCGCAACACCATCTTTAGAGGCCTTTGCAAAGATGTGTTCAATCGTGTAAGGAACCACAAAGACGCCCATGCACTATGGTCGGATGTTTGTGCGCTCCATGAGGGAACCAAGAGTAAGCGTGAGTAACGCTATCATCTTGTGATTAAAAAGCTAAATTCTTTTGAGATGTTTCCCAAAGAAAGTGCTAATGAGATGTATTCTCGATTAAATGTTCTTGTAGAGGAAGTCAATGGGCTTGGACTCACTCAAATGTCACCATCCGACGCGTTGAGAAAAATCTTGAGTGTCCTCCCCATTGACAAATATGGGCACATTGTGACCGTGCTACATCAAGGTGATCTTTCCGCCGCTACACCAACACAAATCTTGGGAAAGATCAATGCTCATGAGATGTACATGCACATCACACCACAAGATGGCTCATCCTCTATAAAGAAGAAAGAGAAGGACTTAGCATTCAAAGCTAGCCAAGACAAGGGCAAAACAAGACTTGAGTATGAGAGCTCAAGTGATGAAGATGATGAAGAAAGCCTTGCCCTCATGGTGAAGAAGACCACCAAGATGCTAAAAAGGCTAAACAAGAGTGGCATCAAGTTCGACGGCAAGAAGAAGAAGTTCTTCACTAGCTCAAGAAGAAAGCCAATCTCCGAGATGGATTGCTACAATTGTGGCGAACTTGGTCATCTAGCTCATCAATGCACAAAGCCTAAGAAAGACAAGTTCAAGAACAAGGGCAAGAAAGATGATTCAAGTGATGAAGATGAAAAGAAGAAGAACAAGCCATACAACAAAGAGAGATGGCAAAAGAGGGAGTTCTACAAGAAGAAGAAGAGTGGCAAGGCCTATATTGTCGGTGATTGGCTCACAGACATTGATTCATCAAGTGGATCATCCTATGATGATAGTGACGATGAAAAGGTGGCCGCCATTGCTATTGATCTTGCATCTTCACCACCACCATCGCCATCATCATCTACACACCTATGCCTTATGGCCAAAGGCGAACGCAAGGTAACTAAGAGTGATGATAGTAGTGATGATGAACATGCTAGTGATGATGATAGTGATAGCGATGATGATGGCTCACCTACTTATGATGATCTTGTCAAAATACTAAG